AATGATGGAACACTTCTTAAAATCGAGAATTATTCTTTAAAACCATTGAATGTTGTTTCTTGGGGCAAACATCAACTTGTTGTACGAACTATGCAAACTCTCAATATCCATGAATGTGAATAAATTTTTTTCATCAATTATCGACAGATTAATTATAACAATCACCAAAGTTTTTTTCCGTTCTTTTTTAGAGAATCAGTGTCAGATAACCTTGCATAGCATAAGGGTGGGGTGTCAGTGAAGGTGTTTGTGGGGCGTGATTGTGCGTCAGTGGACAGATTAGATCCACAACCATACTCTCAGATAGAAATCGAAAACGAAACATAATAATAGGAATATTGTCACTATCTGGTACACTGACTGCAACATATTTTTATTTTTATTTTTCGTCGTCTTTATTTCAAGCAATTGAAAAGTCTTAAACAATAGTGTGTGTCTCATACAATATTTGTTCTATAAATTCGTACAGGATGGAATAAATAAGTGTGTTTGAAGACGAAAGAAAAAAACCAAAAAGCATTTTTTTTTCTTTTTTGTTCTTCGACGATGGCAACATGTTAAAATTTCTATTTTCTTGAGAATAGGCATACTTTAATTCCTTCTCGACAGAACGATACATGTAAGTAAACACTATTTTTTTTTCTTTAAAATGTTATTTCATACACAATCAAAATCAATAAATAGTTAAGAAACTGTATATAATTTTTATTATTAAGGATTGTACCGGATTCATTTGAAAGAGCTTTGTTTAAAATGAACAATATTTATCAAGATTTGAATCTAGTTGTTCATTAGAGCAATACTCTTAATGGTATATGATTTAGATTTCATGTAAAAATAGATTTGTAATGATGTCATGTATAATGAGTAGATCTTGTGGTATTCCATTGATTGAAATATCATACGCCGTAAAATTTCAGCAGCAACTGTCGGTAGCTAGCGTACATTTCCCAATTTAATAGTCATCCTCTTATGCCTAAAATGCAAAGATTTTCTATTAAAATTATTTGTATAAATAAATTCAAATGAAATAGTTCGCTAATTACTTGTTTGATCTTTGTTCTTGAGCATTGAGAAAACATACTTCCAAGTAAAATAGTTCATTAGATAGAGATTATGAATGTGTTTGTTCCAGATGCGATGCTCAGCTAGTGTCTTGCGGGTGTGGATGTCGAACAGAATAGACAAAGCAACACCCACACCCACACCCACCCACATCACAATTATCAGAACAATAACATGAATTTTGTATTTGTCTTATCTTTTTAAAAAACGTTTAGAAATAGATACTAATCTAAGGTTAAGAAAAGATGAATCATATGTAATGTTTTTCGAGTTTTATCATAGAATTTTCGTCAACATTCGATGTTAACATTTTTCAAATGGAAACTTCTTATAAACAAGCAACATTTGAAACTCTTTCAGATGAAATTCTATTGGAAATCTGCAAGTATTTATTATGTTCTGATATTCTTTTCTCCTTCAACGTCCTTAACCATCGAATAACACGAATGGTCACTCAACATCGTCATCATATTTCATTATATAAAATATCTCTTGCTCAATGTGATTATTTATGTGTAAATATTCTTCCGAAAATTGGTTGTGAAGTTTGTTCATTATTTATTGATTGTTGTTTTTCTGTGTTACAACATGATTCATTCATCAAACATTTTGGTAAGAAAATGTAAACGATATTCCCTAATCTAGAAAGAATTGGTCTTGTTTCCTATCTATACAATCAATTAATGGTTTTTCTTGAAAGTCTACATGATTTAAATTATCTGGTTGAGATTCATCTCTATGAACTCTTTTGGATTCGTTCGGTCGATCAGTCAACAGCTGTTCGATCATTGTTTCAAGCAAATAATAATCGACTGACAACAATACTAATCGACGATCAATCAAGCTCTTTACATTTTCATAGCAGTGGTTGTTATTTGAATATCCTTCGATTGTGTATCAATTTGAGAACAGGTTCAGATTTATCATCTCTTTTCCGCGCCGTTCCCAATGTTCAATATCTGGAGGTGATAATTGTTGAATACTGTTCATCATGGGAATACTTCGGTGAACTAGAATTGTCTCCTCTTCTCCATGTTACTCATTTTCAACTCACATCCACTAAGCAGTCATGCATGCTCGAAGAATTACTTGAACTATTTGCTCAACTACCAATAGTACAACATCTATCCCTTCTTCTTCTTCTTACGCATGATAGATGTCTTATCGAAGGTGACACAATACTTTCTTCACTTTCTTCTATTGTTCAGCAGTTTGATTATGCCATTAATTTTTCTCAGAAGACATCTCAGCATCTAGTTGATAAGATTATCGCCTCTTGGCCACCAACGCATCCAGTGACATATTTTTACCATAACACATTATTGTTTATTCATACACTCTCTTGGCATTCTACTGGCATTTCATTTCCGGCGTCTATCAATAAAATGTCATGTCAAGTGACTAATATAGTCGGCAATGATCATAGTATGATTCAGCTGAACCTAACGATCGACGAAAATTTTACTTTAATTAAGTCTTTAGAAATAATATTTCAATGTCGTCAAGTGAGGGAAATTTATATTATAATTAAAGATACTGATAACTTTGTTAAAGGTATGTGTATTGAACAAAATAAACCGATGATGTACAAAAGTGACTACAAAAAAATCTGTCAAACCTTTGAAGAGAATATACGAATTGGAACATGAGTTATTTATCATTAGAATTGGTAAATTTTTCAATGAAGGGCTTAAATAGGTCAATTTCGATTTCTATTTAAATAGTCTTGAAGGATTTCCAATAGCCAGGAAATATTTGAATACGAGGTAATTTAAAAAATGCAACAATTTCTTGCTAAATAAAATTATTAAAATGCTAAGTTGATTTCTGTCAAGTAAGATCTGTATTTGCTCAGTAAATTAATTGACTGCTTAGTAAAAATATGGAATGAGGAATTCATTGATAGTTTCTCAGTACTAAAAATATTTGCTAAGTTAGATTATTAATATGGAAGTAAAAATAATTACTAGTAAATAATTTCGAATGAAGACTAAGTACAATTATATAGAACTGATTGAACTTTTTATGATTGTATGGCATATACATTTTCTTTATCTTTCATTCTGTCAGTATTGAACGATCATCGTAATACATGTATATTTCACCTAAAATTTGTCAGTTTGATGTCATGTGTGAATGGATATATTCTTTCTTCGAGGATACTCAAATACGATAAATTTTCATTTTCTGTCTCGTGTTTCTTTTATATGTGATCTGTATCGATCTTTCAACATATTTTTGGATTTCCTATTTTCCAGTGCGTTCTCACCCTCATCCACTTTGTTTTTCAATACATATCTGTCTTTAAAGGTTTACTTCAAATGTAGGACGTGAATGTGAGTATAGAGGTGAGAGTGTTTGTATAAAGAAGGCTTTCAATAACATCTAGAACTCATATCGTCATACAAACGCTGAACTCGACGAAACTTTTCGTGAAAATTAAAGTTGATGAGAATCTATTTTAAATGATGCGTACGCATAAGGATGTAGCTTGATATAAGTTTATAACGTGGGTGTGGGTGTGGGTGGGTGTATAAAATATATTCAAATCCACACCCACACCCACACTCTTCAGATTCGGGTTGCTCGACCTCGATTTACTTTGGTCAACCTTTATAAAATATCATTATTTTTCTAAAAAGTCGTTTCTTTTGGCGAAAAAATTCAATTCGAAATTTTCAAAAACTGACTTCAGATTCGGATTTTCCGACCTCGGTTTACTTTCGTCAACTCTGATAACATATAATTATTTTCTTCAAAAATTCTGTTTTTGCTGACAACGGATTTGAACCGGTAACCGTACCTATGGTCATCGGTTTGGACTCGTGAATGATCGTCACTGTGGCATCCGTATACATAATATTCCAATGTGTTGTTATATATTTTATTCTATTCTATTCTATGTCATTGTTCTATTTTTCTATCCATGTTCGACTATTTTTCAGTATAATATATATACTTGTGGTGGACCTTGTTACGTATTTGATGCAAGAGTAAGCGCTTTTGATTGATCGATACATGTTGCCTTGCCAGTTTTTGGTAGCGTATTAATATCAATTATATTACTTGTGCGTATTATTCATCATAAGTAACGTATGATGCAACGAAATATTTAGCATAAAAGTCCTCGTATCATAATTCAAATTCTATCTGTTTGCTTCTTATACAATGTTACGCGGAGTCCCATTGCGACCTTGATGCTAACTGTATTTTTCTCACCAATACAACAGCCGATTCTGAGTGTGGATGTGGCTATGAGTTTAGGTGGTTGTGCAGTGCGGATGTAAGGAAATCAACAAACATACCTTACATCTGCACCCAAATTCATGTACCTACCATTCACTACATTGAATATAAAATGATTCTAAATAGGAAGACTGAACTTTGAAAGTTCTATATAACATGAAACTTGTCTAATGCAACAAGTGACTAATTTATCATTTCGTTGTGATTTAAAACATGATGAGAAATTAAATTTTAATATTGCCACTTTTTTTTTCATACTCAACGATGCATATAAAGGACTATCTATGGTAACGTGAAAATTTTATTTTTATAATACCCGGATATAGACTAAGTTCAGCAAACTAGTAGTTCACTGTTTTTTTCCCATTATTACTAGAACTANAAGAAATATCAAAAACATAAGCATAGTTACAAGTGTTTGGCGCAACTGCATATGAGTGTGTAAGATTGATTTTTCGTTTTCTCAGCCAATACTCGATGTATATGGCTGAAATTTTGCCAGCAGATAGAGTAACACAAGGTCTATCTGTGGTATAAATATGGGACCTAAAAGATGTTCCATCACAGAGAAATCAAAGAAACAAGCCTTTCGGTTTTTCATGACCGGGGGGATATATACACTGAAAAGATTGTTAACCTGTGTAAAAAAAAACTCGTTTTTCTTGACAAAAAAATATCTTCAACCTTGAGTCGGGTCGGGCCACGAAAAATTGACCCATGTCGGACACTGAAAGACAATGCTATTTTTGCATCCAAGTAAATGTTTAAAATCTAATGGTCGATACAAAAAATAATCAAAACTTAAAAATATGTTTTTATCATTCTGCTTGAGTTTTGTTTCATTCAGTAGTCATTGAATATCGTGTATCTGGAAAAACATTCCCATCGTTGATTAAAACTCGACTGCTCTGATCTATTGTGACCATGTACCTAGGATCAAAATTTGAGTCGCTTAAGCTCTCTCGCTTCCTTTTCTAAAGTGTATGAAGAATGACGCATCAGAAAAACTTGAAATATTCATAGTATATAGAGCTGGATGAGTTGAGTCAAAGTTATCTTACATTCTATATTCAAGAATGCTTCCTTCTAATAAATACTAATGTGAAAAAGTCCGAAAATCATTCTGCTTTTTCAAATGCCGTACGAATCCCACAGTGTCTAGTAACAGTATAAAATATTTCAGCTCGATTGGAACATATTATGTTGAGAAAGTGAAGATGGTTCCAAGCTTTTACATGTAAAATTAGATTTTGAGAAAAAGAATTAAAAACACTCTGTATTTCTCCCTATGGCCTCTTTTTTCAACTGTATTCACCGAATACTTGTCAAGTCTATTTATGTTAGAGATTCATGACTCATGTTCCACAAGTATATCTATGATATAAGAAATAATCATCATCGTCAGAAGAACGGCAAATGTAATAGAGTAATCGTAGAACGAATTTCCTGCTAGGGAATTTGAAATTTTGAGTTTCAAAAAGCGTATTTATTAACATTGAGAATCTTTCATCTATATGGCATTTGAAAAAGGATACTTTGAGGCTATATTTTCAAAGAAAAAGTCAACAATCGGAAAAATTTTGATTCTTCAGTCATAAAAGTCGAAGAGTTCCTCTTAAAGACAGAAAGTTTACATAAAGGATACTCTCCATCGCTTCAAGTTCATCGAAATGTTAAAATATTTTTGAGAGTAAAGCTGTCAATAACAGAAGTCTGAATTGTTCACTTTAATTTTTTTTGTTCAAACTTGTGCAGCAAGAGGTATTTGAGTGATTCTTGGTGTTTATTCAATGTTATCATTGGAAACATTGCTTCCTGCTTAAGTCGACAACTATAACAATATTACTTTCAGGTCATCAATGATTGCATAATCATCGTAAATTATTAGCTTTTGAGTTCTCCATAAATGTCAAGGTTTTGAAACAAGACTGGTTTGAATATAATCGACAGCAAAAAGAACTAATCGATGGAATCAATTCAACTCAGAAGTTTGTTTTTGGATCCTATATTTTGACAACATCACTAATTTTAGTCAGTATGAAAAATAAAATCTCCTAACTCTTTTGTGAAGCAAAATTATCAACAGTTTTAAAAATTATTCGCAGTGCTCAGTTCTCTCCTCCGATTGTTTTTCAATTTTTTTCTTTCTCTCCGAATACAATATAACGTAGTCAAGGTGTAAACATTTCTCTTCTGTTGAATATAATGAAATTCATTAAAAAACCAAGTTATTTATTATTCATTCATGATGACAATCGATTCAAGTATTCACTAAAAAACAAAAAAAAATGAAAATTATATATTAATAAAAATCCAGCTATAATAGATTCTACCGAGAATCAAAAGTTCATCTCACTTGAAAGCTTTATGTTTTGTTCATCTATTTCAAATAAGCTTCGTAACCATAAATATATAAGTTGCAATTTTCTGTTCTACTAAAATATTCATTAGTGTTCGAAATATCACAAAAGAAATTACAAAAATAACTTGAGAGATCCGAATAGCACTCATTCCGAAGTCTGAAAACTGTCTACTTACTAGAAATGATCATAGGTATGTCACGTGCAGGCATCAATCTCCTAGATCGATTACTATAGGTACCACTTCTCAATCCATCGAAAGATTAACAGTAGATAAACAATTATTAACTATAGAAACACATTGGATACCTCAAATCAATGTCTTAACATGTACACACACTGAGAGCTTGATTATAATCATCTACTCGCAAAATAATGTTATCTGTTGCTATATGACTTTCTTATATATGGGATAGTGATGAAATATAAATTTGTTTGTTTGATATTTTACTTCATAGTTAAAAGGAAGTAAATACAAATGTGTCAATGTTTACTCGGCAAATTCAAACAACAATATAAATGTTCAACTAGAACTTGATCCTAAGCGATCAAAATTGTTCGAAACGCAGTCTGCAAAAAATTATCGAGTAATTTTTATATTTGTTTTCTTCAATTTGATAATATAAAAAAAATTGCCTTTTTTTTCCGTAGAGTACAACCATTGGAAATTCGAATTCAATTGATGGTATCAGTACTGTCAAAGTAAAATTTTCCATTTTGTTTATGCTTCTTCATTTGAATGTATTTGATTCAAATTAGTTGCAGTCATGCCCAGCTCAAAAACAATCGAAGGAAAAAAGTCATCGAAAATACAGAAGAAGAGAAGGGCAAGTATTTTATTCTATTCTCTTTATGAGTAATATATTTTGTAAGATGTTTTATTCAGTTTTCTCAAGTGTTGCTGTTGTTCATGTTCACCTTACTGTATATGTTTGTCGGCAATTGGTTTGATTTTGCTTGGTGCGATCATTGCTGCAATTCTTACGGCTGTATTATCGTCACAGTCAAGAACAACAACAAGTAAGATTATGATCTTATTTCTCACCCGTTTTCATAGTTACAAATTTACAAAGATATTTGAATCTACCAGTAAAATATGTGTTCATGCATGAAAAGATCTTAAATTATCGGCAAGTTACTAAGTATCAGATTAACTGGGAAAGTTAGAATTAAACACATGATGAAATAAACAACTATTTTATTATACGTTTATCTTTAGCTCATATTTTAGCTCTTTTCAGTATTAACTTGCTTAGAGAATGTGCCTCACTATGCTATGATCACGCTTTCACCTTTTGTTTAATCGATCGTCCTTCAATGTGAAAAAAGCCTTGATCATCATAACAGAATTATTTCTTTAATGCAAGGCTATGAGACACTACTAAGATTTGTTGGTTTGAATGAATATATTTAAATAATATATTTATAAAATGAAACAATAGGAAGAAAAAGATTCAACTGCGTCACAATTAAGACGAATGATTGCCTTAATCAATTCAAATGCTACGAAAATAAAAATAAAAATAAATGATACTGCAACTCACGTCAGTAGTTTCGATGATAGATTGTCAATATATATTTTTGTAATAGTTAAATATGAATTTTGAATTTCTAGCTACTACGACTACCACTACAAGCGCAACGACAACAACGTCTACAACAACCACTTCAACAACCGCTACGACAACGACGACAACAACAACAACGACAACAACAACAACAACAACAACTTCAACAGCAACTACAACAACGACAACCACCATCACTACGACAACAACAACTACCACCACTTCAACAACAACTACAGTAACAACTACAACAACCGCTACGACAATAACAACCACAAGCGCCACAACAATAAGTACCACAACATCAACAAGCACTACAACTACAAGTCAAACAACAACAACCACAGCTACGACTGAGAAAATAACAACAAGTAGATTACATATAAGAATAATTTTTCAACTGAATTGGCATTGAATATTATATTTATAGCTAGTTTGTGTTCACCTGCATGTAATTCAGAACAGACATGTGTACTATATGTATGCACAAATGTAGGTCATCTTGGAATCTCTATGGTATGGTCTCGATCAGGTGATGGAGATATCGCAGTTGCAACACCAAATGGGAAAGTAATTTACTACCATAATAAAGGTCCTTCATCAAGTACTGATCAAGGAGAATTAGACAGAGACGATTTGTATAACACGGGGCCAGAAAACATTTATTGGCCACTTAGTGGTTCTCTACCACCATCAGGCACTTATTATCTCTGCTTTGAACCGTATTCAATCAGTCCAACTATTAGCAGCAGCAATCCCATCACGGTTACCTATCAAGTAGTGCGTCCAAATGGTGTCATTCTCACTTTTGCGAAAACATTCACATCTGTTATAAAAAATTCATATCAATGTAATGCAGCTTCAAGCACTCTCATGGGTTCATTCACTTATCCTTAATGACTACTAATAAAAATTAATTTTAATTATTCATGAACAATTCATATTTTCTTTTTTTTTATTCTTCAAATACAAATGCGAATGATTCGAGTTGTTAATTGCATTAAGTCTTGATAGTTTTAGGAAGTTTCTGTGGGAAATATAAATGTTTTTTGCGATCAAATTTTGTCAAGTATTGCATCACATTTTCAAGAGAGATGGCCGCTTATTATTTTTGAAGCTCAAGATATATTATATATGGACATTCAGAAATAATCATATATGTATTAAATGATACTCATTATAGTAGTGTTCACTTAGTACTGTTAATTCTCGACAGCGATTGAATACCTGCTACAATAATTTGTACTTTTCATATTTTTTCACTTGAAAATCATCATTTCTACGTACTTATATTCCAGTATATTATCATTTGAGTGCTCGTGTTTTTAGTGCTGGTACTAAGAACAAATTTACTGATGAGAGCGCACGCTCTCCTTACATTATACTTTAAGGTTTTAGATCTTTAGTTTTTTTGTCATGACATATGATTCTACGTTTCTCCTGAGTACAGACAAATTTCGATTATTCTGTATAATGAGAAAAGTCATAAAAAATAGAGGAAGAGTAACTTTTTGCGATCAAGTTTTCAAAATAACAAAGATCTATGCATCTATTGAATTACGTACATACGTCACATTTAATGTCATGTGAAATAATATTTTGCAGTTGCGAGATTGTATTTCTTGCTTTTCTCTATTAATATTTATTACAGTATCCAATCATGGATAGCAGAAGAAATTTCTACAAGAGATTCAATTGTTTTTTCGTTTGAATAAAATCACTGATTGAAAGATATTTAGGTTTGGAAGTAATAACACAGTTTGCAGTGAATAAGAAATCAACAAAACATGTACGGCAAAAACAGATGTACATTAAAGAAATATGAAAGAATTAATTGAAAACAAATTTCGATACTCGCATAAAAACAATAGATAAATAAATGTATGCTCATGTTTGTTTTCCATCGAGACACTATCGAATTAGTAGGCAACGAAAGGAATTCAATTGACGACGAAGATGCTTCAGTTACAAAGGTGTGGGTGTAGGAGGTGTAGGTCTGCTTTTCACTTTCACCCCACACCTTTCAACATAATGATTCAAAAGCTGTCGTTGTATGAGAAATGATAACAAGACAGGAACTATAGTCAATAGTGGTTGGGGGTACACACGAGTATAGGAAACATATTTGCCATTTTCTCAGCAAATATTTGTTATGTATTGTTGAAACTCTGAGAATATATCAAGTATTAATACATGTATCTATGGTATCAATTTGAGACGAAAATTCAAAAGTAAACAATGGAAATCGGGTATAGAATTGAAAAAAGAAGTATAATTTCTCTGTAGCTAATGATAAGTTATAGTTGTTTGGTAACGTCACTCGTAGTACTCAGAAAGAGTTTTCGACACTACTTCTTTTGCTAACACAAATGATGAATACTTCTTCATCAGTAGTAAAATAAATCATCCCATTTAATTAACATATTGCGATGATATTCTATTTTTTCTTAGCTATGATAACTGTTGGATCATATGTGTTTTATTATAATTTTCTAGAAGAAATGCTATTGTTGTTGATAATAATAACGCAACTGTGGTTTTCATTCTTATATATAACACTCTTAAAAACTTTGATAGAAATAGGTGAATATGTTTGAAATATTGAAAATCCTATGTTCTTGAATATTTTTTTATAATAACCTGTCAATGAAACAAAATGAAATGCTAATAATACTGGTATATCAACTAGACATCAGCAGTTATTAGATGTTAAAATCCAGACCTCTCTATATTTTTTTAGGTGTCAAACAGTACACGAAATAGTATAGTTGACTGTAGGTGAGTGAATAATTTGGACAGCCATTGTAAATGTTTGCCTATGAAGAATAAGCAAAGGTGAAAGAAAAAAAAAACTTCAAGCAAAAAGTTTGTTTTGCTTTGCTTTTGCTTTAAATTGAATATTCTCTGGTAGAAAATTATTTGTTAATGATATTGTTCGTTCTTGTTGAGTTTTGTAATAAAACTTTCGAACAGTTTGTATGTTGCTTTTTCGAATGAAAGAAAAAAGAAGTTTGTGACACGACGACAAATTATTCTAAGTTTTCAAGAGCAATCAATTTTGTGTTATATTACATCTTGAATTATATCATATTTCGCATTCAATTTGTTTATGAATTCATTTAGAATTAATATAAATAATAGATAATATTAAGTGTAGATGAAATAAAGTAGAATACATATGTATCTTAAGATTTATGCCATAGCATAGAGTGAAATTGATAAATGTAGACATTTTGTTTATTTAAATTTATATGTATAAAGAAAAAAAGAAAAAAGAGGAGAACAAAAAAGAAATTTTTAGTGTTTAAACTACCATTATCAACTTTATCATGATGGCACAAAAAAATAAACAAACAACGAAATATAAAATCCGGAAAACAATAATGAAAAGACAAAATGAAATCATTATGAAACACATAAAATAATAATCTAAATATTTAATATGAATTAAATGCAATTAAAATCAGACCTAAAAGATATAATAACAGTATCAACATTTATTAGATGATAATAATAAGAATAATAATCCATTTTGTTGACAAAGACGAAAAATATAATATCATTGAAGTCTAATGTTCTACTTAATATAATAATTAGGTTTAAAATGATCGTTTAAAGACTGAAAATATCCTTTTTGTACTTCCCTTTTTTTCTCTTTTTCTATATATGCAAAATTTTAAATAAGAAAAAAACATCTACATTTACTAATGTCAACACATGTTGGATGATATTAGTTTCATTCATAATGAAGAAGTAATTAGAAATCAATTGTCTCGTTTATCTTAGGAAAGAAAAATATTTTAATAATTTCCTATCAAACAAATATTTACTAATGATTATTCTTTATCTAGACAGGTTCCGTTCGAAGGTACTACAATTTGGGAAGAGACGAGTATATGCGAGAATACCTCGGTGGAGTTCTACTGGATGTCCTAGAATGCTCGCAACGTCTATGTTGTTTCGATAGATTTAAAAAAAATATCAATAAAGATTTGAGAGACGTTGGTATTTTCGATTCTCTGAAGACTATCAACAATATTTGTAATAAGGTCCGTTTTGCATTTATTTCAACAGAGACAAATCATCAAAATTTGAATTTTTTTTTAAGAAGATATGCCGTTCAATTCTTTAGAATAGTTCAGGTAAAAGATCTGCTTGATTTTTTCTAATAGATTTTACGAAGACTAAAAACAACATCTATGGGAGACTGAAATTTCTCACTATAGCAGTAAAATAAACGTTCTTGATATAGTCCAATACAATCCTATTGATGTTGGAAAATCTTCAGAAACAATTAAAACTTAGCAACGGCAATCACTTGTTTTTGTAAACAAAGAGCTAAAGTACTACAAGGATGTGCAGATACGGGGTACATGATATCGTATGGTTCTAGTTATCTGTAAATATACTCACACCCACATTTTCATTTCGAGTTTTTTTATGAGGTTATTTTATTAATGAAAATAGATCATGCTGATGAAACTCGAGCAGCAGTTGAAAGAACTGAAAAGGAGTGTGTGGGTGTGAGTGTCTTCTCTTAAACCACACCTACACTCGAGCCACCAACATCAAAAGACTTGTTAAGTTAAAATCTATTTGATATCGTTTTATACTCAGTTTTTAATATTGAATCAGAAAAAATACTCTCAGAAGCTATTAAGAAGAGCAAAGCAGACGATTTTGCATATTTTTGAAAAAAAAACAGGTTTCTCGATAAAAATGACATCCACCAAGTTTTTCTTTTTTTCGATCGGAAAAGAGTGCCCATTAACACTGAAAAAATAGTTTTTGCGGTCAGCAGCTGGGTGGGTGTGGGTGGGCGTGGGGTGTGGGTGGGTGTGGGTGTGGGGTGTGGGTGTGGGCGGGTGTGGAGTGTGTGGATGTGAGTATGGGTGTGGCTGTGGCTGTCGGTGAGCATGTGGGTATGAGTACGAGCATCGTTTAAGAGATGATAGACGCGCACACGCACACCCTACACCCACCTGCACCAACACCCACCCAATTATTATTGCGCAGGAGCTAACATATTGCGATGTGCACAAGTTATCTTTGTCAATATCTTTGCCATAATCTACCTTGTAAGTCATCTTCCACTGTTCAGCTGTTTTCTAATAAGCATCGACTAGAATATCATTTTCTAGCGATTCGTCATGATCAAGAAGAAAACAACATAAGCTTTCGACGTGTTTTGATAAGACAATGGAAACCTCATATGTGTATGCCATATCAAATCAATGTTGAATGTTGGTACAATGGTTTCATCCATTTTGCTAGTTTTAAAAATGAAATATAATTTTGTACCATTTGTTTAAATAAGTTTCGATTCAATAGTCGTAGATCCATTGAAAAAAGCCTATGTTGCTTAAATTTTTCAAGAAAATCACGTTGACGAACTACGGCTTTTGCCAGATCGATCGAAGGAGCAAACGTTGAAGGATTTCTTATTGATTCGAGCAAATTAACTGAACGGTGTTTTCGACGTTGTTTTATTCTTAAACGTCGGCAACTTTTATCGACAAGTTTACCATTTGGTAATTGCTTAGTACAATCGTTGTTATAGGCAATCAGATGAAGATGATGAACATGCGAGATCCAGTCGATTTGCGATGGAAGTCTCCGTTGTTTATGTCTGGTTGCAATTTCTTGGTGAGCCATGCGTCTACAATAATCATCGATATAATAATTCAACGTTTCACCTTGCTGCGTCATTTCTGGATGCGCAATCACTCGACGAAGCAATACAATATGATCAACAAAATCACGAGAAGATAATCCAAATGTCTTTCCATCACTTGTACGAATATTCGCATCAAAATGTGGTATTTAAAAAGAATGTGAACTGTTAATGTCTTGTCAATACTGTTGTTGAATAACTGTTACTGTTTTATTTCCAAATAAGCTATGCTTAAGACTAAAACAGCTCAATGTTCATTATTTCTAATAATATTATGATCATGGAGAAACGAAATGCATTTGTTTTCGCGAAACCTTCTAAATAACAGCACTGGCCGATTTTCATGAGTTCAGCAACGTTTTAGAGAGAGGCTGTAAGGGGAAGAATCAAAAATATTAAAAAGTTCACCTGCTATTTACTTAGAGAAGAAATAATTGATTTTTTTTTAATGTTTTATCAATTTTACAACAAAAGAAGATCTATTTTATCAAGTTAGTAAAAAATAGTCACTTATTCAAAAAGGTTTAGTTTTGAATGATTTGTGAGTTAACTTTAAGTGTTTTCTTATAATTTAAGTCTGTATGTAAGATTTGGGCATTAAAATAGGACGATTCGTATACTGAAAGAATAAGATCTAGCGTGATAACTATCAGAAAAAGTCATGCTTTTGATTTTTCCAATTATTTTGATATCTCTGAAGTCTCTGATTTAAAGTCTGCAGAAAATTTAAAAATTTCGATTTAACTAGTTTAATCAAAAAAAAATCTGACTTTAGCTGTTTCTACTTTGTGCTTACCACTGGTTCCAATGATATATTCGTCTGATGTTACATGCTCGTTTATTTATACTTTTGCCTAAACAAAATCCAATTATTCTTCCTACTTTTTCTTCCCATACTCGAGATTGACACCTGCAAGTGTTCTACTTCCATTTTCATACGCACACATAATGAGTCAAAAAATTTCTCAGCGTCAATTATATAATTATTGAAGTGTGACTGCAATATCGTGAATCACAATGATGAAGAGGAAGTAATAACATAAGGGTGTGGGTGTGGGTGTTGATATGGGTATGGGTGTGTGGGTATGGGTGTGTGGGTATGGGTATGGGTGTGGGTGTGGGTGGGATGTGGGTGGGTGTGGGTTTGGGCGAAGAAAATATGACACTCACACCCGACCCACACCCCACACCCTTAAATTATAAAACTATCGGATATTCTTGGAAATGTATATTGACTGTTTCGTAGAAAAGTACCATAACTGTATAGATAGTGAGCAAATATTAAGTTTATTTTGAATTCTTCCCCATAGATTTTTCAAATGAAGTAAAAAGCAGAAAAAAACAATAAAATTCTCAAATAATGCAACACAAGCAACAAAATTTTTCGAATTTGGTATTTGCCACCAATAAATAGATTTGAGGTTAGACTTTATCTTTTAAATGTTGGGGATGTGTTTTTAATTTATTCGTATATTAATTTGGCAGAAATTTAACATTATCTGGGCCAGTTGCAATTATTGAAAATTGGCCAGTAACAAGCTCACCGAATGTCGTTGCTACTAAGATGTATTTAACATTCGACTCAAGATAAGCTGTGATGTAAAATTGTCCACTGCCTGCACCATCGTCATTTTCTTGAAATAAGTTGAACGAGGGGTATGTTGGATAGAAATATCCATTATAAAGAGCACCATAAGTATCCATATTACTTTCACTGATGAATATGTAAAAACCGGATGTTTTCACAGAAACATCAATTGCTTCATAAAAGTACTGGGATGTTGAATTTTCTGAACGAGAATATGTTGTCCGATTTTCGTTTAGCATACTTGAATATCTAGATACAACGCCGTACGATTCTGTTGTTATCATAGACACTAAATATATTCAAAATATTCAATTGAAGACGATTATTAAAGTCATGTTATTGTAAATAAATGAATTCGCATATCTTTTCATGTGAGAAAGATTGACAAGTATTCAGAAGTTTTCATTTTTTCTTTCGTTGTTTTAGAAATAAGAAGAACGCTACTCAGATAAACCATAAATGAGAAATTTAGATCAAGTAAATGATTCATATGAAAAAAAGCTTTTTTAATCTGTCAGCGTTTACGTACAGATAATTCAAAAATTGTATCATACTAACATATATAAATTACAAAATTGACTCCAATAAACACTAGATTTTTTCTCGGCAGACGTTACTCTGCATATATTACTGTGTTAATGACCAAGATATAAGTAAAATGAAAGAAACCGATGTCAGCTATTTCATCGAACGTAATTTCAGTATTGCTTATTATTTTTTTTTCAAAATAGAAACTCAATCTAAAAACTTAAGTTCCTTGATTTAATTTTCTCTCTAGAATATTATCGGTTTAATTGAATGCCTATAATGTCTATCTATTAAGCAAGTCTAAAACTGACAACAAAAATATCAAGTACCTTGATGGAGGGATTTCAAATATTGAAACATTTGATAATCATTTGGGTGTGTGTATGGATGTAAGTGGTTATGTGGGTGTAGCTAGGGTGTGGGTATGGGTGTGAATGAAGAGAATGCTACACCCACACCTACATCCACACCAACATCTCACACACTCGCATCCTGATATACAGCAATTTTTGTATAGTCAATCTTCTCAGAAAATATCTACTTATATCAATCATGATCAGCTGAGTTGATCCTATCTATTACATACAAACATAAGTTGCTATATACTCGTTGATATTTCTTTTTCATATTGCCTTGTAGCTTTAAGTGGTCATGCGGAGCAAGACAACTGAATTAGAACTCTAGAGCTATGAACTGTTACCGTACCATCATCAAAAAATAAATAGAAAGAAGGGCCAACTATACTAGAAAGATTCCTTTACTCCAAATTATCTAATCAGATAATGAAAATAAGATTGAAACACTATTACCAAGGCATTTCAGAAACATTTGACAAATTCTCGCCTAGCACGGTTATTATTCATAGACAATGCTGATGGACTGAAACTAGAAACTAGAAACTATTATACTAATTACTAGTCGTTTCTTGTCCGAAGGCGTTGTTCGATACCATTTGAACATAATCTGGACCCGCCGCAATAACTGAGAATGGACCAATTACATTCTCTTGGTATGTTGTAAAGACTAGTGTATATGGAACACCAGCCTGTAAATCAACTATCATCTGAAATTGATTATTACCACCTTGATCATCATTTTGTGCTAATAAGTTGTAATTTGTATTGAATGGATCAAAGGTTCCACCGTAGAGATAACCGTATGTATCCATGCTACTTGAACTCGCCAAACTATATGTTCCTGATGTATAAGCAATTACTTGAATTGCTTGATAATATTTGCTTACATTTGGATATCGTGTACTGTTGAAAGTTAATGTATTTGAATAATAAGAATAAGTAGAGTTTTCAGAGAATCCAGTTGTATTACCGTACGGTGCTGTACCTTCGAATCCGGTTGTAGTTGCGTTCCAAAATGCTGTTGTTGAAGAAGATCCTGTTGTAGCAGTCGTCCAAAGTCCGGGTGTAGTCATGGTCGAAGTTGGAGCTAGAATTATGAAAATGGAATTGACAATGATGTCTTTTGAGAGAGTACAGGCTCTGTGAATTTTTTTGAGATATTTCAATTACAAGAATTCATAGGACATTTTGAGTACGTTTTTTCGATATGTATGCTGACGTAGGATCAAACATATTGTTTTCAAGTTAATGTCCTGTGGAAACTAGTTTTCAGCTTTTCCATTCCCGGAACCAATTCAGAAATTCTACTATCGCACGTTGATCTTTCCGGTCCCAGGATACTGCAGGAACTCGTAGGAAAACACTGGAAATCAACGGAACATGGAAGCACTATTCCGGTCGAAAATTTTTCGGACCTTTTTCCGGTGGCTTCCAACCGATTTCTGTTTTTCCAGCAGAAACCAGCCGGAAATCATCCAGAAAATGTCCGAAAAAATTCCGACCGGAATACTGCTTCCATGTTCCGTTGATTTCCGGTGTTTTCCGCCGCGAACCGGTCTGTACTTCTCGACTGGGTATCATGACTTTTCCGTATATCAAAACCACTGATAAATTGGCCCTAGCTTCTCGTGCCATCGTATTTTTCACATATGATATATAAGATAAAAAGTAGTCATATTTTTAAATAGCGATAAGAAATAAAAAGGCATTAGAAAAAGTTTCAAGTTGTATTTAAATAAGACGAAAAATTTCAGGGATGTCAATTTTTATATATCATTCCCGTTCCTCATTCCTGCAGCAAATGAGATGGAAAATTTTGAAATAAAGGTGTTCCCGCAGAACACTGGTTGAAGTCCTGCTCACTTTACGATTCTGACATGCGAATTAAAATATAACACTTTTGGGAGAAATACTCGTCATGTAATTTGACGATGGTGCAATATCAATATAAGAAAACAAGATGATTTTTCCTTGTAACGTAATGACAAACACGTTCATCTGTGAAAACCGTGCTAGATGATTAGCATTTCAAACGCAGAAATGTTTTTGTATAGAATAATCAGTGCTAATTATAACATCTATATTTATTAGAAATGCTTGCAGTTTAAGGCCGTCCCCTCCAAAATCTAACTTCCGTATAATACATTGAATTTTAATGAAACTTTCTACAGATGCCCGGCCCATAAAACTACATTCATAGAAAAAACTTATCGCCTTGAATTCTTACTGTTCAGGAGTTTTCTGAAGATCAACGTCTAAAACTGGTCTCTTACGCGTGCAAGGTTTTTTTTCAATATACTTCAAGCTATAAAGTTCGGGTTAGTTCTATTTGAAAGAGAACTCTTTACCACTTTGGATGAGCGAAAGGGATTCTTTAAAATTTTTCGCTGTTTCATTATGGTGACGTCTAAACCGAAAAAATCTCAAAATCCTGCTCCACGTTTTCTAGAAAACCAAGGATTTCTCTAACATAAACGATTAACTAGAAAATCCCTTTTCCTCATCCGAAGAACTATGCACGTACCTATCGATTAAAAAAACCACAGCTCTCTAGAATGAAGTATATTTTAAAAAAAATTGTCCGCAGATCGATCAGCCTCAGAAAAATCAATTTTGAGAAAAACTCAAAAAGAAGATTTTTTGTATAATTTTCTTATTATTGGTTCAAACGGAGGTGAAGCGTATATATATTACATGTCGGTCGACGCACTTAGTGATGTACATTAGACTATCCTCGTACGACATATATCACGGTAGATAGCGCTATTTATCACTCTTTATATTTGTTATACCGTTGAAAAACGTTATTAAGACAGAAGAGTAACAGATCACGGATAACTGCATAAATCATTCATAAAACCCTAAAAAACCTTTCAGAATCAAAACTATTTTTATGAATTCGTATGCTATACATCTTAGGTGACATGTCCATATGTTTATCTCAAAAATTATTTTTTTGACGAAAATCGACTTTTCAGAGGGGGAGGGCGGCCTTAAATCGAAAAATAAGAAAATTGGCTTAGTAAGAACTAAAACAAGTAATGTTTTGTACTTCTGCATTCGTCAATTTTATCGATGTCTTGGAGCTGATAAGGGCAACTTTTTGGAGCTAAATCTGACTTCTATTACAATGAAACTATTACTCAAGAAGGGTTAACTTTGCATAAAATCTATTTTATTATTCTTCATTGTCATTATAGAAAAGCTGACTAGAGGAGAGTGACATTTCCTTAAAGCATCGGGATTACACACATTAATTAAAAATAAATGATTTAACGTAAATGATTAGTGTGCTAAGAATTACCTAGTTTCAATACACAATTCAAATGTTGAGCGCACTTTCAACAGAAGACTTTTCTTCGAAAGAGTTACTTTTGAAGAAAGAATCTTTCTTCCTTTTTAGTAGTGTTTCTTTTGCACGGCTGTTATGTCAGTAGAGACATCTCCTGACATAAGAAGGCCATTTGTATCCCTCTATCATATTGAAAAGCAGGAATCGACTGGTGGAAGAGAGAAAGAGAGAAACAACATTCTTTGCTGCTTTTTTGTTTTTGATTCATTCGCTTGTTTCGTTTTGAAAAGAAAGAAATAAGAATAATAAAGAGAACGGGAAAAAGACCCTAACAACGGTAGGTTAGAAAATCAAACGATTCAAATAAACTACAACTCGCTTACTTATCATCGATGGACACAGTCGTTGATCTGCCATCGATAAAGGATAACAAAGGGGAAGTGAATCACATTGAGGATGGCGAACACAAATATGATCTGCTCCGTCACAAGCGTCGTTTGGGGCTCGACATGGTGTAAGTCTGGAACAACTTGCGCCAAGAAGGGCACAAATACCAATATCATCAGCAAAGGACAAGTGTAAGCATCCACATGCCGAATTCGATGAACATTGACCATATTGAGATAAACCTTGGCATGTTTGACTGTTCACACTCACTATCAAATTAGATATTTAAATGAAGAAATATACTCAATGAAGTAAAATACAAACCAGTTAAACTAAAAAAGAAAATTATACAATATGAAATCAAACGAAATATCAGCAAAAACGATATTTACCTGAAAAGGACTGATGCTAAAGAAATAATAGTTATTGGAGTCATTATTGTAAGTTAAAATCAAATGAAATGTTGCTGCTATTGCTTCTCGGGATTTTATATTCAGAGGACATATGCAATATTTTACGATTCTATCTCTAATTATTGTAAATATGATAGCATCTGATTTCATTTCGTTGATATTTAAAAATGGATTTAATGACGTTGTTAATTGATATTGTTTGACAAAAGCATAAACAACGTCAAAATCCATTAGAAAATAAATGGAATGACGCATAGAGAAAAGCACAGATGGTATCTAATCGTCAATAAGCTTCTAAAAAATGAAAATGAATATGAATAGGCTTGTTTAAAAAGCTGATTTCGACTAACTGAAGTTTCTTCGCAGAATTGATTCCATTTGATAAGAAAACGATGCGAATATAATTTTATCTATATCTACTCGTTTGCTTACATCTATATGTACATACTCACGCTTCCTTGCATACCTAGCTGTGGGTAAGAGTGTAAAATGTTGCTGTCAGATTTTTTTTCAATTATTTGTAACTATCACTGTCATGATCCCGATGTTAATACTAGTCTATTGATCTCTCGCTGAGGTTGAGTAATAAAAAAAAGGAATAAATTGACTGAATGAGAAAAATGCATATGAAAAAATATTTCCTGGTATATCAACTGTTTATGGTTTCAATAGCTTTAATGAAAAGATTACAATTATGATTTTAACTATCAACAATAAATAAATATGCTAAAAAATGGTACACTTTAGCTATTGATGCATATTATAAATGCATTATTACTTGAATATACAAAAGATACTATCGAAATGACTAATCAATAGGGAATTCATTTTTGTTAATACAGCTAAATTTTAATTAAATAAATCTTATAGTTTGTCATAAAGATAACTCGCTTGGCATTCAACTTATAGTATAATTATTTTACTATTTACCATTACATGTAACAAGTAATCTTGATAGTTAGTCTTCAGAATAAATAGTTTCGAAAACGTAGACAGACAGAAAAATTACTACGATTAGGTTTAAGAATATGATTATTTGATTTTTGGAGATGAACATAAATATACCGGGTGTGCCAAAATGATTCCAACATTTCTTATTTCGCATATATCTCGGGTTCAAGTAAATGATAGAGCCTTGATTTTGTTAAAAGATGCGCCGTAAAAAGCTGTACAAAACCTGTAATGTCAAATCCCTATTGGCCTAGATTAGTAGTTTTTTCCATACTCAGAATTAATAACCTATATGACAGTGTTACTTTCCACCATCTTATGCTCAACAAAATTGTATCTAAGATTTCTATATTTTGTTTATATCTCAGCACAGACGAATCTTGAAGCCTTGATTTTTTTCGCAAAGATGCGTCGTCGAAAGCTCTACAAAAAGGTGTATGAAGAAATTCCTACTGATATGTGCTAGTGATTTACCAGATGATTGTTATAATTTCTCTTGATAACACTAGATCATACTGTTTCATATATCCATCACTTTTCCGTTCTTTTCTTTTTTTTGTTTCTTCTTTTTCTTCTAGTCTTCTTTGATGTCTAGCCATCGTCTTTACATATATCCAGAGAGGCGTGACTCGTTCTATTTGTGTTCGTTTGTAATTTAATAGTTTCTTTTCCAAAAGAAAGAAAACAAAGTTACCTTCGAATCTTTTGATAATGGCAAAAAGTAAAGATCCACCTGAAGTTGCTATTACTCATTACAACAAAAATAAATGCGAAAACCTCGGATTTAAATCCGAGTGTTATGTGTACTTCAAAAAGTGAAAAGGTACATTCACTATGCTTTTTATCACTAAATTGCAAGGAGAAAATACAGACGTGCTAAGTTAGCATGGATCATACTGTATGCGATCCTATCCGGTGACCACTGACTCTACTCTCAGACTTATAGAATATCTTTAGAAATCACAGGAATTGAGTTCAGATTCGTGCTTAGCTTAAAATTGTTTTTTTCTTTCGCCTATCNGTGGGTGTGGGGGTGGGTGTGGGTGTGGGTGTGGGTGTGGGTGTGGGTGTGGGTGTGGGTGTGGGTGTGGGTGTGGGTGTGGGTGTGGGTGTGGGATGTGGATGTGGGTATGGGTGTGGGTGCGGGTGTGGATGATATGCGAGCATACAAACCTACACCACCACCCATACCCACACCCACACCCCACACTCACACTCACACCCACACCCACACCCAGATTTGATTGAAAATAAAATCTAATCGTTTCCGGCATGTTCGAACTGATGTCGAACAAATGATGGAAAAGGTTTTGAAGCGAATTAACTTCTTTCAGAGTATAGACGAATGTAATTCCAATTATTTGTTCATGTTACGATCGAAATATTTTATCTTGAACACGAACTAATAAATACTATCCATTTGACGTAGTTATTAGCAGAAAGACAGCCTGAAAATACTGTTGATTATGTATAGTAGCCTAAGAAAGAAACGTAAATTAATGACACTCAGTAAATCATGATAAATTATTCTAATATCCAAGAAAACGCTAATAATTATTTATCCAAGACATTCCAAATTAAAACACGTTCTAACTTATTAAACCTGTTATTGAGAATTATTCTGGGATTATAATAGTTATCATCATCGAAGTGAAATGACAAGCGTGCTATTATTATTCCAAGAGTTCAAGTTGTAAAATATACAAGTCCAATAATAAAAAAAACTGAAGATCTGTCCGATTGAAAGAAATGTGATTTATTTGTTACACCAATTGAAAGAACAAAATATAGAGGCCAGTACTATCTAAAACTATTTTGCTTCAAACCGGTCTCGGAAAAACTTGCCCCAAACGAGAGATATTACGTTTGAATTAGAATGAAATTTCCTATCTTCTTATATATTTTCGTCTCATAGAATTCATTGCCCGATGTTCATATGCAAAGTGCATTAGTCACTTTCAAATCTGATCTAGATAGCATGAGTCATGAGTTCTTGACATCATACCATATCTTGTTCCTTCGAACAAATGTCTTCATGACTCATCGATATTATTCCACTGACGTGCACGCGGCAGCCTTTGCTTCCTTATCTAAAATTTGCGACTAAATCAAATACAAATCATGGCTAGTGGCTCTTGCGTCGAACTTTGTGCACAATGTACTAGTAAATATAATCGAACGCGCTCGTCATTATGTCATTGCAAGCATTGCTCGCTACAGTTATGCTTCAATTGTATGAAAGAGCATAATGAAGAACTAATCGAAAATACCTCTCATCTTTCACAACGGCACAATGAAATCAAACAATTATTACAGACAAAAGAACATATGATCAATCATGAGTCGCAAAATGCCATTTTTGAAATTCATCAATGGTTCAATCGTTTACTCGAAACAAAGGACAAACTCATCGAGCATATTAACAGGATTAAAACAGACGCAGAGGTAATATTAAATTTCTTTTTAACTTTATTTTGATTCAATTCTCGTATTTGATCTGCCAGAGTCGTGTATCAGATATCTCGTCAGCACTACAACTCATCTCCCTTGAGATCCAAGTTCTTCTTAAAGAGTCCATCTTCGAACCAATGCAAACTGATCAGATTGTGACAGAGCTTAATCGAATCGAGGAAGATGTTAAGAAGATAAGGGTTAACAAGCAGATTGATCTTCCACAAGTAATATCCAAATATGAATTGAATTTTGGAAACATCAATATTACGACAAGCAATGCATCCGAAAGAGAAGCCGCACAAGTGACGCATAAGACTGAATCATCTTTAAAAGAAGAATTGCAGACTAATCAACAGGAATCAGACATTCAGCAAAATGTTTTATACGAAAAACTAGATGAGGATTCTTTTTCTCATGAGGATAGTTCACCAGATGGTCTTGTGCGAACTTCGTACTCTGTTGATTGTATGGCCAGCGATGGAATTAATATTATGTATACAAGCATTTGTCAAGTTCCCCATTTGATTGCATACTGTTACTTGGACGACCCTGACGAAGTGGATCCCTGTCGTGCTTGGTATCAATCACGCGTTATCGATATGATTTATTGGAAAAGTATCAGCAAATTTATCTGCGCTACGGACAGAGAGGTTTACAGTGTTGAATACAACGATAAAAGATTCAAAATCATGTCTGTAATTCGAGGAAGTGTTTGGTTGAATGTATGCATTGCGTCCAATAACAAACATCTATGGTTATGGATTAATCCTGGAATTAATAACGTGGATATGATTGAAATCTACTCAACTCAGTTTCAATGTATGCGTACCATTAAGTTTGGAGAACCCATATTATATTGGTTTCGACGTGGAACTAGTTTTGCGATGACAGATGATTGTGTTGCAACAATCAATAGCCGTCGATCGAACAATCTTCAAGTGGTACAAATTAACATCTTTAGCCTTGATATGCAACCAATAAAATCACAAGATTTGGGCACATGTACCGATTTAGTACAGATTCGCACCGATGGGATGAATCGATTTTTTGTAACTACTGGACAAACAAAAATTCATATGGTGATGGCAGGAGGAAAGAAGGAGATAATTTATCTCTCATATGTTGGTAACTCTATTGCTGTTCTCAATAGTAAACGATTTGTCGTCGGCGATTCGAATCAAGATGTAGAACTCATTCAATTATTAACATAACATTTCGAAATCAGCAAAACTATTAAAACCAATCCAGATCGTAGTGATGTAATTTATCTTTAATTCAAATACGAGTACAGGATTTTATGTCTAAAATGATTTAAATAAAATGAGAGAAAATCAATTTTTTCTCCTTCATAATGCTATTCTCATTCATAATTGTGCTCATTAGGATGTGGGCATCGGTGTGGGTGGATGCGGGTGAGGGTGTGAGTGTGTGTGGATGCAAGGGTATGGGTGTGATATTCTCAATTCAACCCAGACCCACCAACACCCACACCCCACCACACCCACACCCACATCCCACACCCACACCCCACACCCACACCGACACCCACACCCACACCCCACACCCACCCACACCCATCATATCATACATTAAAGCAGATCAAATATACTTTGATAAT